TACAATAAAAAAATAATGTGTACTTGAAAATTGCTAAAATATTAAACTTTAAATGTTCTTACCACAAAAACTAAAGTGAAAAGAATTAAGATGTGTTATATCCCAACTCCCCATGATAAATGTAATCATTATGTATTGCAAACATTACTAATAAAAATAAAAAATAAAATTTAAAAAGTATGTGAGGTGATGGATATATTAATTTGATTTAACCATCTTATAATGTTCCCTTATATCAAAACATCATGCTATAACATACAATTTTTACTTGTCAAACATTTTTAATATTTAAATGACTTTAGGTATAACCCAAGCAACTGTTAAAATGCTAGTCATTAAATATCATCCAAAATAGTTGATCAAAGGCCAAGTAAAGATGTGGTATGACTTCCTGATAAGTTCTCTGTGGGCTGTGCATATCACATCAGTGACTGTCTTTATTTCTTGCTTTTCTCTTCCTCCATTCAACTCATAGTATGTATGCTTCATTACCCCTGTCTTTGACCAGCTAAACTTACTTGTATCTTAGGCCCAAGGAACTACATACTTTGGCCAAATTATTCAACCAAAAGCTTCAGTGAGAACTCCAGATCAAAGTGGTCATTGGACTGAACTGATAAGCCAGCCAGTAACTCTGTGTTGATATGAAGGAAGAAACGTCTTGCTTTCTCTCCCACTCATGCACATGTCCTTTCATTGGGTTAGTTCTGCTCATGTACAAATGTTACATAAAACGCTTCTTAAATAAACAAAATATAAAGTCTATCAAGAGATGAAAAACCTCATCTAGAGAAAAACTGCAATTGGAAATTTTTTTAAAAGGCTGAGTCTCCATCTATTCATTGAATATTTAGCAAGGACCTCCTATGTATCAGACACTGCATAAGACTCTGGAGAATGTAGGACAGATAAAATCTCTCTCCTATGATACTTGAAGTAGGAAAGAGCTAGCAAAAGAGCTATTAGTTACTGATTTTCCACCTTATAAGAGGTCTCCACTTCTCATTACCTTTCTGGAAGGTAAATATTATCAATTCCATTGTATATCTAAAGAAATGGTAGCTGAGATTTATCCAAGATTACTTTGATCTATGTGTTCTTTTTGTTTCTCCACATTGCCCTCCTGTACAGTCTTTTCCTCTGTTCCTTGAAGGATTCTGAGCTTTAATTATCTAAAGGCTATTCCCTTAACACAAAAGCTTAAGGATACCCAGGATACCTGGTGAACATGAAACCCATTATCAAAAATCTAGATGAGAAGAAACAATTGCCACCAACCAAAGTTAAAAAGAAAGTAGATTCTTTAAAAATATATAAACAAATAGTATTTCAGAGAAAACTTACCGGCCACCATACCATACTTCGGCCTGCTAAGAAGAAGCCTCCAACAGTTCCACGATTAGTGGAAAACATAGCCTGAGGAAGAAAGGGTCAATAAATTAATAGAAAACTAGATGAGTGACCTTGCTAGCCTCTCCACACACTGGAACTTTCTTTTACCCTAGCCTCTTTCTGGGTTTGTTTGTTTGTTTGTTTTGGTACTGGGGATTGAGCTCAGGTCCTTCTGCTTTCGAGGCAGGCAGTGGAAACTCTATCCTCTTTCTGAAATACTATCACATACTTTTCCCCTGAAGCCTCATTGCACTCAGATGAAGGAAGCAGGGACCTACATTTGACAGACAAGGAAATTGAGGCTAAGAAAGTTTAAACACCTTGCCCTGGTACTAGCTCTGCAATGGTACTAGTTTACTGCATGACTTCAAGCAAGTCACTCCACCTAGATTGCTCATTTATGTGTTAAACAGGGGGAAATGGAACTTTCAGGTCTTTCTTACAAGCATATCAAGTATCTAATGAAGCAATAAACTTTTTAAATGTATGATATGGTATGTTAATTATATCTCAATAAAGCTGTTTCAAAAAAAATGAAAAATGCTCTAAAAATGCAAAGCATTCATAGGAAACATTACACACACACACGCGCACACACACACACACACACACACACACACACATTCAAACTCAGTTCAAATCTTTCCGACCTGAGGATGTAGATAGGAGATTGCTGGAATCATTTCTTTACAATATATTGTGACAAGTACAGTAAATATGGGGAAGGGTTCTTTGGGCAAGGATGACAAGAAACACTTCACAAAGAAACAAATGGCCAGAAACAAATAAATCCCAAGGATTCAGGCTCTAGTAGTCATCTGGGAAAAGGCCATTCTGAAGGTCATTCAGAGTCAAAGAAGGTTGATACCCTCCAGGCATGGTTGGAGGGACAAGAAAAGGTGGTTTGGGGCTCAGACACAATCATTTCCTAGTTGATCTCGGAAACAAGGAGCTTAGAGGAAGAATGTGAGGGCAGGTTCTAAAATAGGGAGCTAGGGGCCAGGGATTTAGCTCAGTGGTTTCTCCGCCTGCTGCACAAGCACAAGGACCTGAGTTCAATCCCTGGTACCAAAAAAATAAAATAGGAAGCTAGAATAATTCAGGAAAGGTGTTTACTATGGACAAAAGGTAAGAAGAAAGTGCTCATCCTTGCTTCTCTGCAAGCCCAGACCCTACCTACCCATCTTTCAAGGCCCCTCCAATGCCACATGCCCTGTGAAACTTCCCCTACTACTGCCTCTCTTACCCAAGCAAAAATACCTTCTCCCTACTCTAAACATCTAGAGAATTCCATTTACATCTTGTTCAAAGTCCTTATTTTTTTTTCACTTTGTGTTACCATATTACAAGTTTTTTGCATTTTTTACTTTTATTAGTATCTATTAATTTTACAAAATATTGAGTTTCAATGTATAGGTGTTTTGATATCAATCCCCTCATTACCCTGCCTTCATATTTCAAATTTTCAATCTCCCATAAAGCTTATTCAATATCTCCTGCATGGAAAAGCATTGTCTCATGATCAAGGGATGCATGAAGAAAACTCCAAGGTACCCAATCCCACTTTTTAAACCATGCCATTAAACTCATCTGCCCATTCTACAACTAGATAACAGTGATCCATAATGGTAAATTTCAGAGGAAAAAGAAGGACAGTTACTGCCACACAACATTGTTGTCTGTACTTCTGTTCTTTTCTCAATGAAATAACAATGTTATTGAGCAAAAGGAAGGAACTCAATGGCTCTGTTTAGATGAGAAAGATTAGTAAACTGGGGATGGAAAGAAGACTCAGGTGTGACCTATTGTCCTCTGATATGTAAAGTGGAACAGTCATTCAGCATAGTCTACACAGGGACCAACCAAACAAAATGAGAGAAGTTCCAGGATGTCAGAGCTGGGCTGAGTATCAGGGAGGATTTCCTCTTTGTCAGAGCTGTCCAGAAATGGGAATGGGGTCACTGGGGAGAGTTTCCATTGGAAGTATGCAAGTGAAAGTTGTTGAAAACTTGCCAAAATGATTTTGTCAAATGATCTAAAGAAATGTGAGCATAGAATGAAGGTTGAAGTCAATAAACATTAGTCTCCATCTTTATGACAATATGTGATGAAAGAAGGAATTTGGCTTCACTTGAACACTGTCACAGCAATGCAATGGTAGAAAGGCCAGTGGAGAGAGTATTTCCAGAAAGGATCTCATCTTAGGTAAGTTGAAAGGAAGAATAGTAGAAAGAGTATTGGCTTTAGCATCATAAAAATCTCGATTTCAATTGTAGGTCCAGAAGAGACCTAGAATAGCAAAAGCAATTCTAGGAAACAGAGATCTGGGAGGAGGTATCACAATCCCCAACTTGAAACTATATTACAAAGCCACTATGATAAAAACAGCATGGTACTGGCAAAGAAACAGACCTGAGGATCAGTGGAATAGATTAGAAGATACAGAAACAACTCCAGACATACTCCACTACCACATCTTTGACAAAAGAGCCAACCACCCTCATTGGAGGAAAGATAGCTGCTTCAATAAATGGTGTTGGAAAAACTAGATTTCAATTTGTCAAAGATTAAAACTAGACCCCTATCTTTCACCATGCACTAAACTAAAATCAAAGTGGATTAAAGATCTAAATATTAAAACAGAAACACTAAACTTGCTGGAAGATAGGTTAAATAGAACTCTCAAAGACTTTGGCATAGGAAAAGACCTTACGAACAAATCGCCAGTACCACAGGAACTAGCACAAAGAATCAACAACTGGGATCTCTTCTTATTAAAAAGCTTCTGCACTGCAAGAGAAACCACCAACAGAGCCAAGAGACAACCTACAATGTGGGAAAAAAATTTTTATCAACTGTTCCTCAGACAAAGGTCTACTATCTAGAATATATAAAGAACTAAAAAAAATCAGACCCCTCAAATTCAAAGACCCAATTCAAAAATGAGCAGCTGAAATGAA